AAAAAGGAAAGTAACAATATTGTGATCAGTCAGCCACTGCTCTCTACCTGACCCACAACTGGAGAAGCTGAAAGTGGACAGTATAACACGTCTCAAATTTTTTATGTTTCAATCTTTCTCTTAAGTGTCCTATAAATTATTCCCTCCATCTTCTGTTCCTCTCAGAACTGACTCTGTCAAAGCCTTTTCTAGCCTTTCCTCCAGGCTAATTTTAAATTTCAAAAATGAATCTATTTTCTTCTGCCTCCTGTCACTTCCTCTCACAATCACTTTCAGAATGATCTTCTTTATAGCTAACATAACTTTTTTTCTACTTTATAATTCCATTTTACCTGTTTATTATAGCCTATAGCCTGTTGGTGATTCCTTAAGTGGTTAAATAAGTCCTTGTCATGAAGTGTCCAGGGCATTCCCATGCAAACCCGAGGCAGTGCTGATGAGTCGCTGAGCCCCTTCACCAGCTCCTACCCTGAACCACCCTGCCACGGTTGTAATAACAGCAGATCTCCTCACTGGCCACTTCAGATGACTTCTTCATGTCCATACAAATAAGTCAAAGTGTTCTTGGGAGTCCTGCTGTTAGCAGTTACTCTTTTACATTATGTATGAATCTTGATAACTCATACTATAAAGCAACTGTGTTCTGTGCTGCTCTTGGTTTTCAATTTTTGCTACAATTAAGATGCAGGGAGAGCCTCGAGTATCGGGTTTCTGTGTTTTCTCAGTGCTTTCACTATGTGTGTGCAGATTTTGAAGGCTGATGTTGACTGATTGATTGATTGTGTTTGGGGGATGTCAGGATACAGCTGCTCCAAAGAGAAGGTAGTGTAGTGGGAAGCTATTTGTAAAAATGAATGTTCTTTTCCTTAGTATTAAGTAAGAGGGTTATGAATTTAACAAGTGTTCTCATCTCATATGGCTATGGTATTCTGCAAACAACTGAATAAAGTGAGAGTGAAGTAAGCCTAAACCTTAGTCACTGTATCAAATTCTCATCTGATAGGGTTTGGCTCTCAGATGCCATGTCCTATGCCAGGGTCAGAACTGAAATGGCTGCCCAGGCTTAGCACAAGTTGCCACAAGACAAGAAATCTTAATTAGCTTTAAATGAGCTAGCCTGGGATCCTCCCACCTGAATATTTTTTTCTGCAAGTCTGCCCCTGCTAAAATGAGAGGTGTTCTAGCTCCTTAGAGGTTGACTTAGATATCTCTACGTAGCACTACATTGCATTTTGCACATACAGTCATAGGTACCCTGGGGCATGTACCCAGTTTTAGAAAAGAAAAAGCAGAGGAAGATCATTTTTTTTTGGTGTGAGTATGTGCAGACCACTTCCAGTAAGTGTTTTCCCTCTTTTTATCTTTGTTCTTAATAAGACATATCCTGTTCCTCTTGGCTGGCCCACCCGCTCCACACCAAATGCCCACTAAAATGGTAGCATGATAAAGCAATGACTTCAATTGCTGCACAAGGTTAAATACCTTTTTAAATTTAGATTTTACGGGATTGATGTGCAAGGGATTATCTGTATGGAAAGTGAAGAAGATATTATAAAAGTCTGCTGTGCAGTAAGGTTCAGACTACTTTCTTGAGCGCTTGGGGGCCAGATCCTCTAAGCATGAAGGTTTCCAGACCACATCTTCACACTGCCGCAGTGAGAGAGGGTAGTACTTCCATCTCTGATTTATATCACTACCATCTCTGTGCATATATATATATATATACATGTATATTTATGTGTGCGTGCAGGAAGACAACAGTTGTGCTAGGAAACCAAACCCACCTTCTCCTGTTTCTCTACTGTCCTATTTCTAAAACAATTTTCTTTTCTCTACAAATGCTAATACTAGCTGAGCTTTGACATGTAGAAACACCCAATGTGAGTTCCCTGCTAGTGTGAATGCATACTTGGCTAAAATCCTTTTAACACCATCCACTACTGCCTGGTTAATTCTCACTTGTCATGCAAAGCCTATGGCCCATGTAGGAGGAATTGCTACTGACAAAGGCTGTTCCACAAGTCATGCTCCACATCTGTCTGGGGCTAATAGCTAAATATCTATCTCTCTATACACAGTCTCTATGAATGATCAGGACTGAAGCTCCCCAGCCGCTTCATTCCCAGAGTAATGTTGTATCAGCTGGATCACACATACCTGTTTTGTGGAGTCATCTAAGTGATACAGAAAAGCTACCTTAAAAATACAGAGAGGTCAAAAGTCTCATCCCCTCAAAGAGCCGCAAAAGCCACATCCCATATGTGACAGTCCCTGACGGACAAGGAAGCAGCGGAAGGGTGGGGAAAGCCTAGAATAGGTCTAATTCTCTTTGCAAATCGAGTAAAGCCGACCCTAATCTGATTTTTCTGGGAGAGAATTCAGTGATGAATGGTTCTGTGTGATATGCTGAGCCATCACCACACCGGAGCCATTTATCACTCTGAATGCACAGAGGCAAATGTGATTATTATTTAAATAAACTACAACTGCCCCCTGTTCTGTCCTTTGTGTGTGTATAACCTGCAGCCTTCATTCACCTCTGAGAAGTTAAACCTTAAAATGACTAAGCTGATCCATTTCCATTTTAAATGAGGCCAAGAGCACTACTGAAAAGGGGAAAACATGGTGACTTGAAGGAAAATTACATCTGTTCTGTGAATCATTTTTCTCCCTAACTCCTGTGCCTTTCATGCACCTGACAACTTCTGCATACTTGAAGGTAAGAGCAGCCCATGGCAGCTTTTGCATTGAGAGGGATGCAGAACACCAGGGGAGGCTGGCATGGCTGGGCAGCAAGGAGGGCTATTGCTGCAACTTGTGTAAAACGTGTGGACTGTGCTGAGTCACGTTCAGCAGCGTCTGTGACATACCACGTGCACAAAGCAAGCGCGGTATGATGCCCTTTCACAGTCATTTTTCTGTCCAGCTCCGCTCTGGAGACTGATTGTGATCTTTTTATCGCTGGCCCAGGTGTAATCAGGCTCAGACCTCTCTCACTGGCTGCAGATAATGCTGACAATTTCTGCAGCTGCTGAAGCACAGGCAATTTTTCAAACTCCTTTTGCACACACCTGGGGACCATCAGCTCAGGTAATGATAGACAACATTGCTTTGGCTGCCCAAGACTAAACAATGGCTGCAAAATTTCCCAAGGATCTCAGTTATATATCCTGGAAGTGGCTAATGCTGATCCTATAACACTGAACTTAAATGGAAAGAGAGTTTAGGAAACAACTTGCTTAGCATACAGGTACCACAGTGTCAGCATGAGGTGCAGCTCTGAGTGTAATGAAGGTGGCTTTCCTTTTCCTCAGGCCTGCGAGGACCCTGTGTTGGTAACACGCCTCTGTGGTGGGGCAACCCTGTGCAGTGGTGCTACTGGGAGAGAGAACTGTGTGCTCACACATGCGCTACAGCCATCCCAGTGGGCTCTGCTGCATCCAACACACAGTTCGTGACTTGACATAAGCTTGAAAGATCGTTTGAGGTACCTGAACATCTTGTATAATCACGATTAACATGAGTGGAGAAAAGGCCTTTTTGAAAAACAGCACAAGACTTGATTTGCACATACTGAGTGAGCAGCAGTAAACACTTCGTGTGTAGGATAAATCTGTCTTTCTTTCTGTGATAGCAGCTCATAAGTGCTATTGTCAAGCACTAAAAATAACGTAATACAGTGAAAAAGTAAACTCAGGCTGCATCAGCAACTACCCACAACCACTACCCTTCCTCCAACACTGGCAGATGAAATGCTCTCACAGTTTCTCTGCACAGTCTCTCTGGACAGCCTGACTTCTGACTATTGAGACCTATAGGTCCCTTGTGTATCGTTTTTAAAGTAAGAAGAGAATCTCTGAAATTAATTACTCAGTGCAGCATTAGTTAAGTGTCTCTCATGAGCTTCCTTCTGTGAGCAAGCAGGGGATGAGCTCCCAGTTAGTCGTGCTTTCTTCCCTACCTGAACTCCTTTTTCACTGTTGTCAGCACGCCAGGTCCCTCGAGGCGGAGTGTGACATTCTCCAGGGTTTGTTTCAGAGGATTGGTGAATTCCACAGTCACAGACATTTCTTTACCAGCTACCATCTCACCTTGGGTCTGCAAGACAAGGAAAAGGCAACGGTCCACAAGTTGATAATAATAAAAAGCCCCTCATGCAAGGAAGGAGAGGAGGGGCAATGGAGCACACAGCAAAATGGCATGAGGCAGAGAAAGCCTAGTCAGAAGAAAATCGTTGATGGGCCCATAGGTATCACCACAGATTTTTCCAATGTGATTGCAATTTTCCCTCAAGCGACATGGCAGGTCAAGAGGCAGGCCCTCATTTCCATTAGAAAAACAGAAATCTACATGCACAGTCCTGGAGCTAAGTGTCCAACTGAGGGCGAGTCCAGCTGAAGGGACTTCTCTTCCAGATTTTGCCCTCCTGCCCAGGCTCCCCACTACCACTGAAGTGCATGGCCTGCTCAGGACATAAGCTCCAGAAAAGAAGAGTATGTCTTTCTTATTACCCTAAATTAGAAACACTGAGTCACATTGCTTGCACACCACCCCCCCAAAGTGTTGTGCCAATCTTCCCCCTGCCTTGCAATCACGTCTCATGCTCTTGAAGGATTTCTAACCCTGTGCATAAAGTAGACCAGAGAGTCGGTTGTCCTCCAAAACCCTTCCATAGCAAAAAAGCAATGCATTTTGCACTGGAGAATATTAAACTGTTAGACTAATGAACAGTGATCACATCGACTTCCACATATATCATAGTACACAGCTGAAGGGATCTGTCTGTCCATTCAGATCAGTGCCAGTAGTACAGCTGCCTGGAAAACACCTCCAAATGAACGTGTTTTTAGACAAAGACTACATGCATGGGGATTTTGTTGGGTTTTTTGTTCACTAGAAACACAACATTTCTCACAGAATATAAAAGGGTCAGTCAAGGGTTTTGAACTTACAGCTGGTAGAACCCAGCTGGTCCATGGACTACTTCAAGGGTCTTGAGAAAGGTAACTAAGAAAAAGAAATCTTGGCAAGAAAGTGCTATGCTTGGGTCTGCAGCCCTATTGAAAATTTTTAAGGAGTGTGACAGTGGCAAAAACTGGAAAGACTGGTATAAGGGATCACTCTGCACCAAATACCAATATATTGACTGGAGTAAAGAATAAGATACTCACAGCTAAGGTCTCAATAGCATTTGACCACCTGACTCTGCAAAAAGACATCAGTGGCATTTTCAGAAGTCCTGGCCCAATTAAGAGGTCTTACGTTCTCCTTATTTCAATTGCCCATTTAAGATCACTGTCATATGGAGGGACTCAAAATCATCCTGATCTGCCACACATGCAACTGAAACCATGATCTGTATTTGCTGAGTTTATTTTTGTAACCTGACCTCAAGCTAAATTAGAGTAAGGTGCAATTTCCTACACTGTTAACTTTGACAATCTCCTTAGACCAACAGAGAAAGATCAAAGGTGTATGTAAAGACATAAAGGGAAATAGATTTTTTCATTCTTTTCCTTCCCTTACTCTCACATTAAGAACTGCAGTCTGCAGTCAAATTCAATGAAGAAATCTGCCAAGAAATCTAGGGGAATAAGCTTCTTCAGATTTCTTAAAAAACCAATAAAGCAAAGTTTCCTATAGAAATACGTAGGTATATACATATGCACATGCTCACTCAAAAAAATCCAGCTATTAGAATTTCAGCTTATTTTTACACATCACATAGAAGCAGAGAGGAGACAAACGCAGTTTTACCAGAAGACATGGTTATTGGACAACAACCTAACTCATACACTAAACATCCTTTCTTCATAGCATCAGGGAGGATAAACTATTTTGAAGCTGAAATTTGGGATCCTGTATAAGATGTTCTGTTTAAGTATTGCATTGAAAGAACTCTCTACTTTCAAAATTTGGTTATCGAAGATAGGCATTGGAAGTAGATTTTCTCTGTCTTGTTTACCTCCCCTCTAGAATGCTCCGTAAACCAAAAAACTTTTATTTGAAAATACCAATAATCTGATCAGATCACAATGACATTTCTGCAGACCATGAAATACTTCACAGACTTGACTGTAGTTTTGATCTACATTTTTTAAAAACCTTTTTTGGCAGAAGGTTGCTGTTTCAGATTATTACATATATTATTATATGGAAACATAAACATTGGTTCAAATAAATATACAGACGGGGAAAGGTCTATAAACTTAGACTGCTTTCAAGGTCCTGAATTTTAGGGAGTTGCATTCATGTTTATGTAAATGTTCCTGAACAGGTGTTCTGATATTTTTTTTTTTTTAATAGTAGGAAAAAAGCAGATCCAAATGACATCTTTCAAAGCAGATGAAAGCTCAGTGCTTTGGAAAATGATGCAATGTATTTGGGTGCCCTGTTATGAACTGAGAACTCTAAATCTCAGCCCTGCCTTTGCCACATGACATAGGGTCCTTGTCCTATCACAAACATTACACTTCCACATTTTCATGGGTACCATGCCACCGTCCACAGAAATGCTTGAACTTTCAGGGAAATCCACAGTATATTCACAGAGCAGCAGCAAATCCCTGAAATCATCATCCCAAATGGATGCTGCCTCTTTAAGTATGGAGGGATTTTCCATAACATCTGTAAGAGCAAGCAAATTCACCTCAACAGCAGTGACCTTCATTCTTCAGCAAGAGGCCTCTGTGCTGTGTTGCTTTAAATATAAGAGACTTCTGTAGTGGTTAAAGACTTGAGTAACTTCTCTTATCCTTTGAGTTTCTCCAGCGCTCTCAGATCTTTCCTCCTCCTCCTTCCTCCACTGAGATCGCTTCAGCTCTCTACTATGGGTGACACTGTCAGTCTCATTCTTTACTGTAGGGATACTCAGTACAATATATAACATACCTACAAAACCTTGTACTCTCCAGTCAGCCACTGCTTTATAAGGTCTATGTTAGACTGAAGGTCTAGTGTGCACACACACACACACATACAGCCCCTCATCCCAGAAGTCAATGTGACAGCCTTGTAGAGAACAGCCCATGCACAGCATGCTAGTCATTCCCCTCCACCCCAGCCCTGAGCTACCTTGATCCTCAGGGTGGGAATTTCCAGGACTGTTGCCTTCTGCATGGCCAGAGTCTTCCCTGTTTCCTTAATCCGTGCTGTCACAAAGAAATGAAAGGAGGCTTGGTCCAGCAGGTCACTCAGATACTCGCTCGATTTGATCACAACATCAAAAGCACTGGCTGGGAGGAGAAACAGGAGAGAAAAAAGGGATCTGAGGCAATCTAGGGGCTATTTGCTCCCTCCCATCATGGCCAGCGCCAGTTACATGAGCACCTTGGAGAAAAGGTGTCCCACCACAAAAGAATGACTGTTTTTTTTTCCCAAACCATCTTCATTTCTTTACCTCACCATTCCCCCTCTTATCTTGACCTCTTTCATTTTAGGCTGTACACTCCCTAGGACAAAGGTGGGATTTATGCACACTCTCTGCTCAATGCCCATTAGTACAGGCCTAGGTCGCTGACGAAGGTTGCTAGGCACTACCACAAATAAGTGAGAAGCAAGACAACAAATAAATAGCTACTGGGCGCGAAGGTCCAAACTAGCTTTTGAGTGTCATCCCTGTAAATGTTGTCTCTTTCACTTTATTCCTGTGCTTTCTCTGCCTCTTTTCCTGGCAGAGGGATGCCACCAGAGCAGACACTGGGGGGTGCAAGCCCATGCAGGCTACCTGGGAGACCACCTGCTCTCTGAGACTTGTCTGGATATCTGCCTTTGTCCTACACTGGACTTGCCTGTAAAATTTAGCAAGAAGGTGCTCCTGTCACCAGCATGCCTCCCAGAGAGCTTTCACGTGCTCCCTGACAATAATTATTGGAAGAAACAAGTCCCCCTAGGCTAGATGGTTAAGATGCAGGGAATCATTAATTTTAACCATATTGCACTGCAATTCCCAGACCAATAATGGTGTGAGAATGTGATGCAGAGAAGCAGACCTGCTAACTAAGTGACCAGGCAGGATATATAGACCTGGAGCTCTTGCCTCTATAAACATTAATTATAATCCTAGTAAACATATCAAGATCTCCCATCTGTTAACTATGATTATTACTGTTTTCCATTATTTGCATTGTATTTGTGACATACACTGTATGCACTAAGATAATTGAACTCAATTGGGTAAATGACATTCACGCCTTTTCACTCTTTTGATCCGCTCACATCAAAACCAGTTCCTTGACTTTGTTTCAAAGCTATTCCCTTGGTGACCACCTGACCTGGATTTACCAGGCCAGCCTTAAATTTACTTGATGTGCTCCCCCTCCCTCCTTCTCTCCCTACCTCTCACTCTGTATCTCTTGTAAAAATTTCAGTGCGCCAAACTGTGAATTATAAATCAGTTTCTCATCTGTGTAAGGTAAGTAAATAAATAAATAAGTTACAACCGAAGAGAAATTTACTTTACAGTGGAAGGAAAGATGAACTTTTCTGTTTAAATTTAATCACCACAGGAAAAAAAAAGAATAATAGACTTCCATTTCCTTAGCACTGGTTGTGCTGGTAAGTTGCCAGTACCACTTACTGCATATGGGAAAGCCAAGGGAGACACAACACCGAGCTGCCTTACAGCCTTTCAAAAAACCAGAGAAAACTAAATATAACTGAGTAGATGCGAGAGCACCTTTGAAGGCACTGGAAGGTTTAAGCTATTCAAATCCTCAAAGATATTTTCAGCCCACACAATTCCTTTAATCATTATTCTGAAAATCATGCATTTGCTTCCTGTTTGAAAACTTAGTTTGCTTCAGTCTTTCAGCAGCATGGGCTGGAAGAATGCCTTTGACACATCTTTATTGTACTGCAATTTTTTGTTACTTCCATACATATATGTACACTTCTCGCCATGAATGAATCCCCAAATTCTCCTTGAGTGCCTCAGAAGATATCCTTCCATCACACCCCTGACAGAGTATTCTCACGCAGTTGCAAATGATCACACTGCCTCCCTTCACGCTGCCCATCTGCTCAGACACTGCTCCTGATTGCATGCGTACTCCTTTCTAAGGCAAAGGTGAAAGAATTCATGCTCAAATTTTATGTCACCTTCAGAGATAGCATAGCTTGTGAGGGTTTTTTTGTGCTGTTGCAGGACAAAGTGCTCCACAAGTCTACGACTGTAGCTCAGATGTAAGCTAATTTCCATCTTGAAAGGTGGTAATACCTTAAAGCAAGTCTCCTTGGCCAGAAGCAGTGATGGGGACATATTTTCGGTACACATGCAAAAACATCCACTATCTGTTCTCTCAGGAGCCTCTCTCTAGTCTCTGTTCACTCACCATCAATCAATTCAGAGTTTCCAGCACAGTTTCAAGAAGCTTTTTACAAACCATTTACTTAGAAAAAATGAATCATGAGGCTCAGTGATTCTTAAACACCTAGTCATTTCATTTCTTGCACAGAGGAGCTAGATGAGCCTCAAAACACTGCAGAAGCTGTGTTTTAGGTAATAGTACCTTACACAGACCTTTGATGCGAAAGAAGACATAAGTCCTGGAACCAAGCACAAATCACAGCCAGAAAGTGTAGCAGGTATTTGCACATCTCCTACAAGATGACTGAATTTTCACTTGTCAAAGAAGTGGCACAGAATTTAGACTCAGCAGTTGAAATTGTTTTTTTTTTACTGTACCTAGCTAAGTCTCCAAAAGTTTTCCAGTATTTCAGATCAAACACTTAGTAACTGATGCAAGCCACTATAAACCCCCACACTGTGTTTTGATCAGCTGTGTTGGAACAACCCAATGCCCATTTCCAGTTGGGGAGTTAGAAAGAACCAGCAAGCAGCTGTCAGGGCTTTGTTATAGACCAGAAGTAGATTTTTATTAACCTTCACCTGTAGATCTTCATAAGTGGACTCCTACTTTATGGAGATTAATCAGCTTCAAATAAAAATGTGCAGTTTTAGATGGTGTTCAAAGTGAGGAAGAAAGCAGAGGATTTTTTTTTTCATGGCACAGCGTGAACTGTGGTTCCATAGAGGCTTCCCACTGAGACAAAACCTGTCCTCTTTGAGGACAGAGGACTCACAGTGTCTCTTGAGCTGGGATGAGATAGACAAGACAGATGAGAAAGCTCAGAGGTCAGCCAGGGTTGCTGTGATCCAGCACCAGATCCAGATCAGGAGGGCAATCCTTTGGCTTCCCAAAGTCCTGCAACTCCCGTTGCACTCAGCAGAGAGTCCTTTTGCCCAGCAGCAGCGGGAAGAAGGCAAAATCACTGCTCCTGACTCTTTCAGTAGGGAACTCAAGTCCTCTGACTTAGCTGCTGTAAAAGCACATTCCCATCACTTTTTCTAAGCTGGAGGCACTAATTCAAGAGCACAGGCCTGTCAGGAGAAGGACTGATTGGCAGTCACTTGTTGCTGGAGAAGCCAAGGATCTACAACCAGCCTGCTCCATAGCGCTTTGGAATACAGCAGGTCCTCAGCACTTGCTGACTGTTTTCCGAATGAGGCTGCCATGGCAGAGAGGAAATGGATTGGTTAAGTCCAAAACAAAAAAGGAGAATTTCCCTCTTCTCTACTTTGAGCAGTGCAAAATCCTGCCCTCAGCTGCATGAGCTAGGCTGACAGGTACTGCTTTTCTCATGAGAAAAGGGAGGCAGGATCTCAGCACCACAGTTCAGAGGCCACTAGGAAAAGCAAATGCTGCGTCTGTAAAAATAACCCACCTTTGTGGTGCCTGCCCAGCTGACAAATGCCCCTGCTCTATAATGGTGCATTCTAGTTACACATAAACTTTTTAGATCACTGTAACTACAAAATCCTGAACCACCTAGTCCTGCAAAGGCAGATGTGCACTTGAACCCACTTGGAGCTTGTTAGCTTCTACTAGGTAAGGCAAGATATTCACCTTTTTGTCCTGTAAATGACATCCTAGAGAACCAGAACTTTTTCTTTACTTGCTGAGATACTTCTAGGAGACTGAATGTATGAAAAACAGTACCTTGCGGCTTAATACTTGCACTCCATTTTTGTAATAAATAAGAAAAATTAACAGTTCTCAGACATGCAGCTCAGTGTAAGAGAGCACTATGGGAGCAGCAGCCTGAAGAAAATGGTCTCAGCACTAAATGACACTGGCAGCAGGGCTAGAGTTGTGAGTGAAGCCTCCTGATACCCAATAGAGTATCCTGCCCCTAGCTACTAGAATTGCCTCTATACATGGGTAGAGACATTGGTGAGAGTTAATGACACAGGGAAAAAAGGCTAGCAGGTTTGAAAACAGCTATGCAAGTCTTACGTGAAGAGGGTTCCAGTTTTGCATGAGTGTTTCTTGAATTCATTTTTTGTGACTCCTGTATAAAACACTATGTTGCCTGAAAGATAGGCAGTGACAGTGTAGTAGCTGCGACTTTTGTTCCTGAAAGTTATAGTGACTTTGAAGTCACTGCCAAGGACTGCCTTTTGCACTTGGAAGTCCATGTCAACATCAGTTTGTGGCTGATACATGGTATCTTGGGTAGTTTGCTTTTTAACGCCATACATCACAGCAGTCTCAAGAGCCAGTCTCTCTTCCTCTGAGCCTAGAAATGAATGAAAATCAAATTTAGAAAAGAAACAGGAGTACTGCATTAGCTCACTCACTGATCACAAGGGTGCATATTCCGTAGTTTGTGGTAGCTGAAACGAATGGAAGAGGACAATGAATATATTCCTCTGGTAAAGTTAATACCAGGAGAACTTCACAGCTTCCAAGTGAGCTGGAGTTAAAGATTCAAGCCATATCAGATAAATTGATGTAGCTTAATGGATATTAATGGAGCTACACTAATTTACCCTGTGTGAACATCTAGCCTGAGTAAGAAATGTCTAAACAACTGTACAGAAAGCCTTGAATTGTTTTGAATGCTCTGGGTTACTCCGTGACTACCCTTTGTTTTCACTACAGCTTACTCAGTCCAAAGTATTTCCGAGTAGGACAGTTTGTGCTCTCATCAAGGCATCTGCAGTGTTTCTGGGATGGAGTTACAAATAGAGTTCCAGAGGGCACCTTTTCATGAATCTCCCTCAGGGCCAGAGGTTTGTAAATCCACCATCCAACATCTGACTAAGGTAAATCTACATCGATATGGTTCTACACCATTTCAGGTTACCTTCTTGGAACTTGTACTCCTCAGTAATCTCCATCATGCCGTCACCCCCAACTTCCTTGGTCACAATCAACTGCCCAACATGGGTTGTGTCAATTTTTTCTATCACTTGGGTTCCATTTTTCTCCCTTCTCGAGTAAACAATATCACTATTCACCTATAAAATTAAACGAAAAAGGATTGAGATACATGCAAGTAGAGAGAGGAAGGGAAGCCAGCCTGTCTCCCCTCAAAACAATGACATGTTGACTTGAAGTCCCACTAAGTACTTACATTGAAGTCCTGTGTTTAAAATTAGTCACTTGCTACAACAATGCCTAGATGCATTTTACTATTCACAGCTCCAGAATGACAGACAGTGTAAACTTGAGTAGGCTACAGAGATACCGTTTGGACTTGGGGAGCATGATTACACATTCCTTGCACCAAAAAGCTTTAGACCACAGAGAGGGGAATGCTTCATAGATAAAATATCTTTATTGTCTTCTGTCCTAAGCTATATACAATTCAATTAAAGAGAGACTTGCTCTACAGGTGCTGCAATTCTGGGCCCACCAGCTCTGCTGGTGCAAGAGGTTAAAACTCCAGACCAGATCTTCTTGTTCCTCAAGGAGATATTTCCCTCTCAGATCTGCCAGTCAAACCACCCATATGACCTCTCCTTGACCCACTGCAGCCAAAAGGAATGTGGTGAGTAAAGACTACTTTAAAATCACTGCATCCATTTTTACTGAAATAAGCAAGGGAGCCTTAACATAAGCAGCTTTTCTGGCAAGCCTGGGAAGGAGATAATGGCTAACAAGGGATGAAGATGAGCAGCTAGAGCTAGTGACCCATTTGCCAGCATAGCTGGAATCTGGGAAGGATAAGTGATCACAGCCTGAATTTTCATCGGAGCCAGCGTAGCTTTTTCTGCTTATTACATTGATGAGCAGAGATTAGAGAAATCTCTGTCATTCATTAGAGCCATATCACACCTACTGGCCTGCATGTCAAAATATAATTATGAGATCTTTCTTTGATGTAGAGTATACATGAAGTAACTTCTCAACCCATAAAATGCAGTGGAGCCCTATCTTCTGTCTTACGTACGGTCCCACTGATGACACTCAATGCACCAAAAATTTTCAGGTATGTACCTCAGCATAGACAAAAGGAGCATCGAATTGGAAGCAAACATGACCATGTTTAATGGCTTGAACTGAGGCTGGGCCACACCTGTACATACCTATGGGGAGAAGAGAGATAAAGTGACAGATTAAATTCTTTAAAAAACATGTCAAAATGTTCCATTTTCTCAAAGAAAAATTATTCTTGGGGTTTGGTGAACTCTTTTAATAGTTTATAGGAACTCCTGACCAAGTGAAAAGCTTAACTTTGTTACTAGCTCTCTAAACAACACAGACTCAAGTCTGAAACAACTTAATGGTTTGGTACCTTAATGCCACGGTAAAGTCCACTGTAAGTTTCAAGCGCTTGAAACGCAGTTACAGCTGGTTTTGGTTAAAGCAGATAATTTTGGGAGGGCTCAGTTATACCACAGACTGAGAAAAAAATCCCACTGCAAATTTGCTAAGAATATCTTTTAAGAACTAGAAAATTAAGGAATGGGAAGAAATAGCAGTGGCTTTTCACTTTTTCTCTCCTGCGTACCTGCTCAGGAAGTTTAGTAAGGGCTGCAGACATAAAATGAAGGAGAATTAATTTGATCAGGCTCCTGTACAGGTTCTCTAAAATTTTAGAAGCCATCTTTTGGCAACAGTACTACAACTCTTCTGTACTAAGCAGGGCCCTTCTCATGCATCATGAGCATATTATAATAAGGACAGACTTGTTTTAGAGCTCAAAACAAATCAGGAGAAGGCCCTGAGCACAGATGAGTGTGGTTACCTGGTGCAAGAAGCTGTCACCAGCCATATAGTGCCACTGGCTTAGCTATCATCAGCTCATTGTTTGCCACAAAAGCATTGGAAAGAGAGCTAAGGAGGACTTCAAGCACTATTACCATCACTGGTTTCTTGGGGTGTCCCATCAACAACTTGCCATCCTCCAAAACCAACAGGAAGATCAGGTCTGGTCATCCAAGCTTCATTCCAGCAATGATAGTTCCTTAGACAAGAGATGGGACCAGAATATTAAATTCTTGGAAAAAAGCATACAGACCAGAACAAACCTGTGTGTTTATGCCCTGCCATAGCTTTAATAACAACATTTGCCAATTTAGGGGTGAAAAAGGAATTTTAAAAAAATGTCTGTTTTTAGAGAATAGATTTTTAGGGCTGAAAGTTTGGTATGTATCTGTTAAAACCTGAAGGCCATAATCCTTCATTGTAGTTTCTTGACTGCAAGCTGAAGAAGCATTTTGATTCTTCTAATGTGTTCTGAATCCAAATGTCTTAGAAAACTTTCCAGTACTTGGAGATTGTTGGGGTATATGAAGAGCTACACAAACTACAATTCCTTTCTAGCCAGACACTTCCACTTCAATCTGCCTGCTAAAACAAACTTTGAATCCTCTTCAAGCCATTAAAGCACAGTCTGCTTTACAACTATTAAGATTTAAGCTTTGGCGCCTCTTCTGAAGAGATTTCAGGATCAACTCTGGAACTTACAGCATGTAGCTTTGTTTTCATGGCTCAAAACAAACATGATTAGCTGGATTCCATGTTGGTTGAAAAAGAGATCCTGCATAGGCTTTCTAAAACTATCCTCATTGTGGATTCCTTATAAGATCTTCCCAGTGTGTCATGCCAATGAAGGAGGGTCAGGTCTCCTAGAAAATATAGCTTTCCATAAAACTTGCCTACGACCACTGTGGGCCAAGTGTTGCCTTTAGGGCCCAGGACAGTATGCTGAAAGGTGAATTTCTGAGAGTCATTTATCTAGGCGCTCGGGGTTGAAATGCCCTCACTTGGCTGAATGCTCAGGAAGAGAAAAAAAACCACTACGGCACCATCACGGTCTGCCCAGAATATTTCAAAGATGAACAGAAAAGAAAGACAGATCTTGTAATTTCCTGCAATGCTACTGGTGCTCAAGGGAGAGCACAAGCAAGGAAAAAAGACGATCTAGAAAGAGTGTCTTGAAACAAAGCCAGCAAAGTGTTTAAATTTCATTACTGCAAAAAATAAAAGAAGGAAGAAGTAGAGAAAGGGGCAATTTTTCTTGCAAATTATACATATCCTACAGCAGATATGAATAAAATTACATCTGTGTAGCTGCCGATACAGCCCCTAGTACATGCAATGATATTAGCAACCAAAATGGGGATTGTTAAACTCTGACCATTTCATTAATAATAGGAGAAAACCAGCCATGGAGCAGAGTTGTAAGGATCTGAGGCTTGTCTAACAAGGCATTTCAAAGTGGAAATGAAAGCTTGGATCAGGGCAAAACTTGTCAGTTAAGAGAGTTAATGAAGCAGAACTACAGAAAAAGGAATTATTCAAGGAAAATGACACACATTCAGAGAATTTTTGATGCAGCTGAGAGTAGTCAATGCTGAATCATGCTTGCAGAGCTTTGCTGAGGGCTACCAGAGAATGGGGACGCACTTTGTGGTAGGTGGGTTTTTGAAAACTGCTACGCTGACATGTGAGAGAGACAATCCCTGTCCTGAAGCCTTCACTGGTTCACTTGGAATCAAAGTCAGATGTGTCATCAGCTTTGTGTTCTGTGAAAGAAGAACCTGAAGAGCAGGCAGGAGGGAAGGATGATAAAACCAAGGGGGGGAAACAATGTGGAAAATGGCAGCTCTGCTTCAATTCTGTAATGAGGTAATGGAGGGTTTTCTATATTTTTTTCTGCATTCATCATAGGGGACAGGACCTTTCTTACTGCTTTCTATATGTGTAGTGTTGAGCACAACAGGACAGTTATTTCTTTAGGTCTGCTGCCATGCAAAACCCAAATATGCTTAAGGGTATTGAATGTGAATGGATAGGAAGACATTGCTTGTAAAGCACAGGAGCATTAAGGAACAGAGGATAAGGGGAACATTTGCCTCTGCAATGTAGCAGAAACATCTTTCTGGTAGAATTGAGCACAGCTGAGGACCTGGCTCCACAGCCATAATTTGTTAAACTGATTCTGTAGATCTTGTATTCTACAGCAAGCCTGAGACATTAAAGAAAGCAAGAATGGCTATATGGATCAATGTAGTGACCATTAAATATTTACGGAGATAATTACGAATAGACTAAACAAAGCGATGGGGAAATTAATAAAAGATGACCAGGTGGGTTTTATGCCTGGAAGACAATTTAAGAAGTGTACTTAGTATTGCTTATGAGACAGGCACATGCTGGAAACAGCTGCTGCCCTTTCATTAGCTAGCAAGCTCAGGCATTTGGGTTGAGAGACACACTGGTAATATTATTGGGAAATCAGAGAAAAGTGAGATGGAAGTGAATGAGAGAGCAGAGGTCTCAGAAGGGCTTTCTCCACAGGCCTGGACATGGATGTACCCCCATAGTGCTGGGTGACTTCGAGCAAGTTTCTGCTGAGGTAGTGGCATCAGTCTGCTTGGACCTCACAGTAGTGGGTCTTGATTCCCATCCAAGAGAAATATTCTTTAAGTGTCTTTATATCATCATTAAAAAAGACAAGAAGAACAAAGTAAGGGGACAGAGGCAGTACTGATGGGCCCAAATCCGGCCAGCTTTATAAAAATAACTTTTTGCAAAGTCTGTGTAATTTCCTATATGTGTTTTGTTGATGTTGCTGTTTCCTATCCTGAGGGAGAAGATGATCTTTAATAAAAATAAATAAATGTCAGATAACATTCAGAGGGAGCCCCACACTCAGAGATTGATTGGACTAAAAATCCTGGCTCCAAGTATTCCTGAAATTTGAGAGTATTTAAAACCTGAGATAGATCAGCTCCAGCAGTACAAGGCAATAGAAATGACATATTAATAAAGAAAAAGAGCTTTGCTTCCAGTTTTCAGTATATTATAAATAAAAGTGAGAAATATATTTTAAAAACAATTATAAATACCCTGAGCTTGTCCTCAAAAGAAAAGAAAAGAAAAGGAGACATTAAAAATGAAATCAAGGTTAAGACACAAGCCATTTAAAGCTGACATGTGGGCTACTGTGGAGTGTTACAGAGTAATGAAGAGAAAGGACACAGAGGAGAAATGAAAAGAGATGGTTAATATATTAAGTCATGCCCAAAGGGTTATGTGCACCATGTACGAATAAATGCACCAGGAGGATAAAAGTATGAACAAGGCAGTTCAAAAAGTAATCAAGCCAAAGAAAAACAAATGTAGGGTGGAAGGATGAAAGTTGCATATGGATTTCAGTGGAGCAAGGATGATTTTGGATGATCTGGCCCTGTCCCAAACGAATGGAAAAAAATCAGGACTGAATTAAGAAGTCTTGGGAAAGAACTGTGAAAAGGAGAGTTAGGAAAGTAAAAGAAAATGTCAGAAGTGGGTGAGAGGTGTTTCATACATCAGGTTAGGAGAAGCGGAGAAGAAAAGATGGGACAGTGAAAAGTCTGAAGCGTGACAATGATCCATTACTGGGCATGTACGGACTGAGCAGTGAGGCGGCCAGTCACTAGGTCTTGTTTCACATCACTTATAGGCAGAGGACATTTCAGAAGAGTGACTGTTCCTTTACAGCTCTGTGAGCCATAGAAGGACCAGCCCCATGAGACATACTGAGGTCCTGCTGTCACATAGACGAGACGCAGCTTAGTAAACTGGAAACTCCCAAGGGTCCTAACAGGAGGGAACAAGGCAAATAGCAGGACCACAACTCTGGACTTCAGGAGAGCAGGGCTTTGGCCTTTTTAAGGTCCTGCTTGGAGGAATCTCATGGGAGGCAGTTCTGGATAGATGGGTCCAGGAGACCTGGTTGTTTTTCAAGGGTCACCTCATGCAAGCTTAGGAATGTTCCATCCCCATGTGCAGGAAATTAACAAAAAGTGGCATATGGCCTGCATGGTGAACAAGGTGGTCCCAATTAAACCCAAACATAAAGAAAAAGTGCACAAGAGGTGGAGGTAGGGACAGGTGACCAGGAGGAATATAGACACTGTCTGAGCATGCAGGGACAGGTTTAGAAAAGCTAAAACCCAGACCAAATGGAGTATGTCAAGGGATGTAAAGAGCAGTAAGAAAGGCAAATACATCAGTATCAACAGGCAGGTGATGGAAAACATAGGTCTGCTGCTGAATGGGGCAGAAGATCTGGTGTCAAAGGCTGAAGTCTTCAAAGTCTTCTTTGCCTTGGCTTTTACTGCTAACATTTGCCCTCAGGAATCACAGCCTCTAAGACCAGTGTGGAAGTTTGAAGTAACGAAAATTCACCATCTCTAGAGGAGGAACACGTTAGAGGATATTTAAACAAACTGGACACACAGAAGTCCAATGGATCTGATGCAATGGATGCAAAAGTGCTGAGGGAGCTGGCTGCTGTCATTGTAAGACCACTCATATCTATCTTCAAAATGTCATGGTGATTGGGGGAGGTTCCTGAGGACTGGAAGAAAGCAGGTATCACTCCTTTCTTCAAGAAAGAGGAGTACCACCCAGGGAACTACAGAATTGTCAACCTCACCTTGATTCCTGGGAAGGTTATAGAGCGAATTTTTCTCAAAAACATTTCCAGACATGTTAAGGATAAGGTGACAGGCAGTGGTCAGGATGGGTTTACAAGGGGCTAGCCACACCTGATCAGCCTGGTAGCTTTCTGTGATCTAATGAATGACTAAGTGGGCAAAGGAAGACTAGTGCATGGGGTTGGTTTCTCTTGATTTTAGCACCACCTCCCAGAACATCCTCATAGACAAATCATTGAAGTATAGACTAGATAAGTGGACAGTAAGATGTACTGAAAACTGGCTGAACTGCTGGCATCAGAGGGTTGTGATTATTGGTGTGAACACCAGCTGGAGCCTAGTCACTAGTTGTGAATCGCAGGGGTCAATACTGGATCCAATACTGTTTAACATCTTTGTTAATGACCTGGATGACGAGACCTACTATACCCTCAGCAAGCTTGCTGATGTAGAAAATGGGAAGGAATGGCTGATACACTAGAGGCTGTACATGAGGAGAGGCTGAGAGAGCTGGGACTGTTCAGCCTGGAGATGTGAAGGCTCAATAGGATCTTATCCATGTGTATAAATGCCTGGTTAGGGAGTTGACAGGAAGAAGACAGAGCTAGACTCTTCTCAGTGGCCCCCAACGACAGGACAAGAAGCAAAGGGCACAAATTGAAACACAGGAAATTCTGGATGAACATCAAGAAACACTTTTTTACTGTGAGAGTGATTGAGCATTGGCACAAGTTTCCCAGAGTTGTGGAGTGTCCATCCTTAGAGAAACTAAAAACCCAACTGGATACAGCCCTGAGCAACCTGCTCTAGCTGACCCTGCTTTGAGCAGGGGCGTTGGATGACTTCCAGGGGTCCCTTCTAGTCTCAAATATTCTGTGATGCTGTGATACAAGCTTCAGATGTAAATATACCTAATTGTTTTCTTTAGATTCCTTTTTGGTAGTAGATCATGGAAATCCCATAAAAGAGGTGACAGTAGGTACAGTAGGAGGTTCAGTCATTTCCTCCACCACAGAATGGGTTTATTACAGTTTTAATGTAAGATTTCCAGAGTTTAAGTTGTTAACAGAACATGCTGATGAGCAGCTACGCTGATGAGTTGAAGATATCGTTGACACAAATCGGATATATTAACACTGAATAGGACAAGCATCTCCTGAATATAGGAATACATGCAGAGGTCACATTCACTGCTTCGCTCTGAGGAGAGGCTTGAGGCCCAATAACCCACACATAATTTCTACTGAACTGAGCATATAATCAATATATGCTACACTTCTCCTGTCAGACGGGAGACAGTAAGAGTTAGAGGAAGAAGTTAGAGCACTGTCTTCTCCAAAAGAACACGTAGACTCTATTTCTTCTTCCTAGGGACTTTTCTTTTTATAAATCCAGCAATAAGCAGTTCAGTAACTTGTATGATACTTTGGCTTGTTTCTTTTTCAGACAAACTGGATTTATTTTGGAAAGTACTTATTTGTGACAGTTGACTGCGAGTACACAACATAAAACCAGCTACAAATATGGGAACTGGGCAGAAGCAGGACAAGAAGGGCCTTTTCCCATAGATATTGAGGTATCCCTTTGAGCCTAGCTTCAGACTGATGGAAGTGCCCATCCTACCCCTTTGCTTTTTTAGAAATGGTCTGGCCCAAAGGAGCAGAAATTGATTCCAGCTCTTCGCCAGTAAGCTTAAATGTGCACTATACTGAATGGTAACATTAATAGTGGGAACTCCTAGGATATGTCTCTTTACATGATAAGCACTTCATATCAGTCAGCTACTAAAAATCCACTCATTGTTTTACATAAGCTAGCAATGCTTTTTAATGTACAGAGAAATAAACAAACCACAGGTATTGCTGTCATGGTTTTTACTACTTATATAGCTGACACATTAAAGGCATTTGCCAGGAGAACTCACCAGACAGAGTCTTTTGTAATTTTGGTGTCCACTTTCCCTTCATCATCCAGAAAGAAGTCTAACTGTAAATTGGCGTTGTTATCATGGGCAGAAGAATAGTTGGTAACAAGTCTTGCTGGTATCCCCAAGCACCTCAGAACTGTGCCAAAAAGATAAGTCTGATGAGAAGGACAAATATGAAGACTGCTCATGGATGACAGGATGAGAGGCGAGAAACTTTTAATAACTAGAATAAAATGTGAAAACTCAGCCAAATCAACCCAAATATTTCCTCTTATCTGTCTTTATATAGAATATGTTAAATATTTTATTTGGTCACAAAATGATGAGCATTCAAGATATGTAATGGTACAATGGTTATAATCTAAGCAGATGATTATCAACAGTTTTAGAACAGTCTTGCATAGTCACCACACTGTAGCTTTTCAAGGCAAATCTGGGTGCAATGGGTCAACTGCATGACCAACTGCATGGTATAAAGAAAAACAAGATTGAGCTTGCAAGAAATGCAAAATACATTACATCTCCTAGTATCAGTAACCCAGAAGAATCATGAGACTGTGCTAAAAAGAAAATTAATAGAAAGTATCTCCTTTTGGTGATTTTGAGTTTTCCCATTTGGTATCTGCCATCAGAAGAGACCTGGAGAACATGAAGAATAAAGCAGAAAATTATTGCTAACAAGGGGGAAAAGCTGCATTATTTGCAAGTGAAATGTCAGAGTTACAGAGTCTGAATAAAATGCACTACATAATTTGTATTGATTGCTAAGTAATAGTATTTCAGAGTCAACAGTCTCTTCCCATAAAGGGTCTCAAAAAAAAAAAAAAAAAAGCCCCATCCCTAAAAATCTCAGACCATCACAATGTAGCACTGATGACTCTTCTTCCCAGTTGACAAGTGGTAAATTTGGGAAATGTGGAAATGCTATGGCTACATCTGAAGTGCAGTAGTGCATCATTAGGCTTCTGTGTTTGTGGTGCACCCTGGCTGATAAATAGACATGGAACATGGCCCGGAGGGGGGAGTGGGGCTGCAGAGTGACACATCACTGGAGCTTCTCCAGATGAAATATTTTGTCTCTCAGCCAAAAATGTTCCTGTTTTCCAATTTAGGAGCCAATATGGTTCTGCAGAAAACAGAAGGGTATTTTTTTTTTTTTGGAAATGCAAAACATTTTTATTGAAAATCCTATTTAAAAATAGTTCTGATGCTGCAATGTTGAACAGCCCTTGCTGCTACTGCTGGGTTTTGTATATTCATTAGTGTCACTACTGTGTCTCCCAATAAAGTGTAACTCTGCACATTCATTTCAAGTTCCTGGATGACAAATTGCTTGGATACATCCAATACCATATGTACCTATTGATTAAACTTAATTCAAGTGCCCTCCCAGGCTTCCAGCACATGAGCCATCAGGGCTCATTGAAAATAATTTGTCTGACAATTTCAAGATTAATGACCATTTTTTCAGAATGTTTTAGCATTTTTAACGGATGACTATCCAGAGTCTACAATACAGTAACCTTGGAAAGCTGGACTGGTCACAATGATAAAACATTGCCAGCTGAGAAAGACTCAAAATCAGCTCAAAACACCCCTTTTAGTTGCACATGACTGTTCAGACCTTTGCTGTTCTCTCTGTGCAGTGGTCAGCAGCTGGACATGTCAGTGGCTATGGATCAGATCAGCCACTGGGCAACATTTTCATTTCATAATGCTGAACATACTTTGTACTTCAGCAGTCCTTGCAGCAGTACAAAGTGCCAGATCTCTGACTTAGCTAACTTAGTCATCAAACTGAGTCTAGTTTTGCCCCAGATAAATATGCCTCTCCATTTAACACAGCAGGCACTGGGCCACTGCTGCGTTGCCCCAGTTTCACGGTGGTCTCCAGGCAAAATACTGGTGGTGATTCAGGGCCAGTGTGGGTGGAAGGTGGAAGAACTGGCATGTGTGTCTGTCTGTGACCTAGAGAAATCCAGACGAGGCAATGGGTAGAGAAGACAAAGTGGCCTGTGGATGCCACTGCAAGGAATTGCATCCATAGGAAATATTTGCAAGAGCCTTTTCGAACCCATGCTGAGGAGCATCTACAGACAGTAGTACAGTAAGTACAGACCATGTGAACTCAAGCAGTGGAGGAAGTAGATGTCTCTCAGGTTCTTTGGATGTGGGTGATTGCTCATTATCCTGCTGCGCCCGGGATAAAATGAACCATTTCATGTGTTGAAGGATAAAGCAGCTGTCGGCACCTCCCCAAATCAGAACAAGAACCTCTCCAGATATATGAAAGAGAAGCAGAGAAACCTGAAACTGCATCCCCTGCCACAGCTGTGAGAAGCATGTGCCAGCAGAAGGCTAGGCCGTCAGAAGACAGCTTTATTTCTGAGGACCTTACTGTTTTAAATAGCTTTGGAACTACCTCAAGTAAACAAAATGAGTTATGATATTCAATTCTCCATATCGGAGGAAAATTATGTACAAAATGAAACATACATGTACGGAACAGGCAAATATAAAGTGAAAATGCAGAGATGTCCAGGGGTGCCTGAAGGTGAAGAACCAGTCTTGTATCTTGTCATTAATTATTCAATTTCCATGTTTGCTGCAGAAGATGAGCGATTAATGTCATTAATTTTTGATAGAAGTATAATGTAAAGAGAAGTATAATGTGATTTCTTGAGACAGCAACACGTGACAGTATTAAGAGAGATGAAAAGGTGAAAGGTTTCATGGAGAGTTTTTCAGTAATGTCCTTTTCACATTTTAAATACAAGGACCAAAGCTTAGACCTTCAGCTGTGTCTGAAAAGTACTTGACACAAAGTAGGCTCCAATCCATTGTGTCTCCATGGTCCTAAGCTGATCTGGTCCCTCTCAGTTTGATACATAAATGCACATGTTGTAAGTGCTTCTAAGGAAGATCATCTGGGCTTAAGAAAGGCACAGTGCTCAGCAGATAGGTACTGGGACAGTGCATGTCAGTTTTGCTAGCACCAGTCCTCCACAGGTGAGATTTGGCTTTTCTAGAGTAGAAATGCCATCTCATATCCCATAATGGATAATAGTTTCATGTTGCAGGTCTAGATAACAGGCCCCCTGTTCATCTCAGATTTCCTAACAGAAACGTGGACAGTGTCGAAAGACTAACATTCTCTCTCCCAAACTTACCCTCATGAGTCACTGAGTACATTTTACTGAACAAATAAATAGTTAACAGACTTATGTGGAAGAGCAGATGAACTGAAGGAGATGCCAAAAGTTTATCTAACGACCATCTATTTAAACCATCTATTTTTAGATATCTCTACCATTTGCTCCTGAACACCACAGAGCGAGGTACAGTAGTAGTTAGCTTAACCTAAAAGCTCTCTCTGTTATGCAACAACCGCACAGCAGCATGGAGTTTTTCTCACTGATACCTACATGTGTTGAAGACACCAGCAAAGACCCAGCACTGGCCATATCGCACGGGTTGTTTAGAACTGTAATACTCTAAGAGAATATCCACACTTCCTGTCCAGGCTGAAGGTGGGACACCATAAGTATACATATTGTCCCAGGATCCAGCAATCACACCATTATCATCCTTGGAGTTGATCTAAAGACAAAGGAAACGAGCATTAGGGATGTCAGAATAATAAAGAGCTTTTTTAAACCAGCAGACAAAGATACGATGACAGAGACTGAACACAGCCAAGTTAAGGCTAGCACTAAAACAGAAATGTTTAATTATGAAGGTAGAAGATGAATAGAACAATCTTGCTAAGAGCCATGAATTCTCCATCACTGAATAATTTTGAATCAAGGTCAGACACTTAAAAATAATGGTGAAACTAAATGACCACACTGAGTATCCATGTTGCCAGTTCAGTAAGTTTTATTAACATTAAACATGCTTACTGCTCTGTATTTTTAATAAACAGGATCAGTTATATACAGATAAGCAAACCTCAAAACTATTAAGCTGTATTCTTTCCTAACACTGTCTGGTTTTCTGTCTGTATGAGTCCAGAGATTTTAATAAAATCACTCCTGATTTACAGCAGATTGAAAGGAGAGCCAGTCTGCTGTTATTTTCAGAGTAGAAACTAATTTCTTCGGTCCAGGACACATGAAAACAAGAAGGAATTTGCTGTGTAAGTTTTCCCCTGGTAAGATTATACAAAGCAAAGAGTTTTGCTGACTAATGACTATACTGATAAGCATTAATGAGCAATACATCTCCTAGCTGCAATTTGAACCAAACCAGTTGAGGCTGTGCAAAAAGCTCATTCGCTCTGTACCTTTTAATTATGCTAATGTGGAACAGCTACATGCCAGCCAAATAAATCACAATTCTCATTTAAAAGCTTTTGGCCAGATTAACTACTGTTTTATAATTAGAAAATCGACTTCATGTGAACCCTAGGACTGAATAAAGAGAAGTATTCAGAGTCATAATCAAAGGGTTAAGGGGTTGTGCCCATCTCACTGTTGTGGGAGACATCCCAAGAAAAGAGGCACTTCAAGGACAGGTCAGCTCTCCTCTGGCTGTAAAGAGGGGAAGCAGGGGGTGACTATCTGCTCTGCAATGTCAGGAAGCCTCAGAAGGATCCCAGCATGGGGGCACCTCCTCAAACAAGATCAGCTCTACCACATTTCAACATGAGCAAGAATGAGTAAGGAACACAGGGAGGACTTCAGCACCGCTTGGGCACTTCTTACTGAGGTCCAGATTTCAGATGGCGAAAACACCCACCCAGCTATGGCCTAATCCTGCAGATTAGACCTAAAGTCCATTGACTCCTGGATTTCCAACAGCGAACTTCTCTACCTCCCTAAAATGATTGAGTGGCTCAAAACCTAAGTAATATCCAAGCCCCTTTTGGGTTCATAAACTTTGTGCTCTTCTGCCCTTAGGGCTTCCATGGCTCCTGCACAAGGGACCCTTTACATCTACTACCCCAAGGATGAGGGAACCACATTTAATTCTTACTTCTGTCTGAAGCCATATCTCTAACATCTAGGGTGAAAGAACTAACCATAAGGTGACAAGAGAAAGAGAAGTGGGGGTTCTCTCAGTACTTCTTGCTGAAGCTATTCTATTTAACATGATGCTATGGAAGATTCAGTGAGTGGCACTGAGAGGCTGGAGATCCTATTTCAATGTCATCTAAGAAAAAGAGCTAATTAAGAAAAAAAGCCTGGGCAAATGCTGTAGCGAGTGAGTTAAAGGATCACTCATCTCCAGCAGCCACGTTTTGTGGACAATCTATTTTAGTAGCTGACTTGGGAGAACTTCTAATGACACTAGCTCAATGACTAGAGTATTATCCTGGGGAGCAGAAGGCATCAGTTCAGACCTCTATAAGGCAGAGGAGAGGACTCAGCCTCTGCCTTCCACATGCTGGATGAGTGTTCCATCTTGAATATCAGGAATGGGGCTGCTCTTGCACCCACAGCATGACTCCTGGTGCCTAGCAGCTGGAAAAAATGGAGATGTGGAAAGTCTTTGCCTTTCTCTTTGCTTCTGGTTATTCTGGGTATTTGTATTCTGAGTGCAGTAAGTTTTGTGGACCCTATGTTTAAGAGGACAGCTCTCACAGTGTTTTCTTCTGGAGCCAAGGTAGTGCACATAAATGTTCTCAGCCTGACTAGGCCATTTGGGGCTTAAAAGTCAGACACAGTAACACCCACCCTTGCATGTCTTAAGACCCTGTTGAGGCTAGTGCTGGAGTCCACATAATCTAGCACCTGTTGGATTGAGCACATTGGAGCACGAGAGACAGTTAAATTAGCCTGGCTTTGATTTACAAGTCACTTCTGACACATATTAGAATCCATTACATACCACTGCAGATGCAACACGACAGATTTTGATTGGATTTCCACGCCCAGAAAGCTCCAGTTCTGCCTTGTCCATCAGAAAAAGGCAAGCATCCAGAATGTTTTCTTCAAACTAGATAAAAGAAAATAAAAATCGAAACAGAGGGAAAATTGAGTCACTTTTTATTCTAGAAAGCAAAGGCAAAGTTTTTTTTCATTGTTGTTTTAACAGCTGATCAGCTTCAAAATTAGCTGGTCAAGGCAAAGTTCTGTGTTTAAAAATACAAACTTTCTTCTAGAATAATCGTGCACATATGGCAAAAAATGTGAGAGTCTGTGAGGGAAAGGAGAGTGTAATTTTCAATTCAATCTCTGTCCAGTTTCTAGAAGGTTGAAATGACAACACAGCCTTTCCGACAGGATATAAAATTTTAAGGGCTAACAAGTATATAATAGGAAGATATTATAATAATAACTACAAGAAGCTATTGTGCTCGTGAAGGACTTCATGTCCTTCACAGATTCCAGACCTGTTAACTTCAGGACTTCTTTGACACAGCCAATGCAATACTGGGAAGTTGAACAATAAGTGGTTTGCCAAAGTTAATTTGAAGACACTCACATTTTAAAATTAATTTTTAAATTAATTTTAAAATTGTTTAAAATTAACAAGCCAAAAGCTGATTGTGTAGATTAATCCTGGTCTATGAAACTTAGATATCAAAAATACCAGGTGACCTGAAGTAGTCTTTTTCAAAAATAGAGTGAAAAGGTACAGTTTCTTCAATCGAGCATGAACAAGCACAAGAATGAATTGAGGGCAGAGGTGCCTAAATAGACTAGAAACCATTTGTCACAGAACTTGCCCTGCAATGTATTTCATTTTCCTTAGGAGAAACTGCACAGCGAAGGAAAATACCTCTGTCCCCTGGAAAACTGTAGGGGACAGGGAAAAGCACATTAATAAAACAAGTATCTTCTAGATACACAATCTTATATTAACATTCAAGGCTGTGACAGAAACTCCATGGAGCTTGATCCCTTCCCATGTTAGGCTTTATATTCTACGCTTGCATCCTTAAAGCTATGATTCACACTAACAGGATTTTTGCTCTCATGTTGCTACTAGAGCTGGACCGATTTTGCAACTGTCTCCAGCCTGGCTTAGGGCTCCTTGGCTGATAAGGGTGATCTGAGTTTTGCCTCCTGAAGAAAGTAAGCAAGAGCCCAGACCAAGCTGCTGCTTTGGCAGCCCAGGTAGAGGCAGAGAGAAGGAAGAGTGAGGCCAGAGAGCTGAAAAGAAAGACCCAAAGAGTCAAGACTGCTGCTGATTCTGCAGGGAAGGTGGGAGGGATCAGGGTGGCATCCCAGGCAGCAGCTGAGCACCAGCATAAGCCAAGAAAGCGGAGGCACCACCATGTTGCACCACTCTCAGCCATTTCCTGGTCAAGGAAAGTCCTTTTCTTTGCCCCTGCCTTGAACCTGCCTGGCTCTCATTCCTCAGGGTACCACCACTGTATGGATGCTTTTCAGCAAATGTCCTCCAAGGCAGCACACCTCTCTCATCATCACCCACATTTCCATTGAATTGCTTTCTCTGGAGCAGATGTCCACTAGTGAGTAACATCTTACAGTCTGAGGAAAA